ATATCACCCTGTATACGTTCCAGAAATGTAGGGGATTCCATCCTAATTTTAATAGTTGATGGTCTAATAATTAATTTGCCTTGAGAACATGCAGTACAAGATAATTCCTTAAATTGAAGAATCTTTTGGTTCTTCATTGAATATCCATGTGAATTCTCAATTATTTTACGCGTCATAGTAGACCAGGATGACCCAACCGGTCATGCCAAATAATAAAATTATCTTGATTAGTAAACTTTTTATTTACTATGGCATGTGTTTCAATCCCGCTAATACTTGTGTAATATAAATCGGGAAGAAAGAGCAGGTAACATTTCAAGCACATATTTCTTACCCGACTTTATTGTAGTAATATAAAGATATTCAATCTTTTCATTTCTCAATATGATATCCATTTTGGCGAATATCTTTGAAACTTAGTAAGTTTCTTTGAGACTTACTACAATATAATGCTTCATTAATAACCAAATTTTTTTCTCCGGGTAGTAATAAATTTGCTCTTCCTGAGCCTTCAATTAATCTTGTACTGCCAGATGTTGTATTAACATTGGTTTCTTTTATCACCAAATAAGAGAAATATATTGTATCTCTTAAAATAATATGTGTTGTAGCACTATCCAAAAGACATATATCATCTTTATTGATCTTGGATCTAACTGGGGAATTTTCATATTTTTCATAAATAAACAAAAAGTACATCATAAGAAATACGAAAGACTATAAATAAAAGAAATATTAGAAATTACACGAGGAATATAGAAACTAGCATATATGATACTTTAGGAAAGTATACTTAAGAAGAATAAACTACATAAAGACATAATATGAAAATAATAACTTTTCTTAAAGCTTTATTCCCTAGTAAGATAATTACTTTCTCAGTCAATATCCTCAAAGAAGTCTCCAACTTCTAAATGAGTAATATTTGTAAGGCTTCCAAAATCATCATCTTTATATGCAAGATTTGCCTCAGCATCATCATATTTGTTTGAGGGGCCTGCTTTATCATCATTTTAAAAAGTCAAGTGTATATTGAATGCTTGATAAAGTTTGATAAAATGGTCAGGTGTACGACACACACGGGCCCAATGACCTTTCATACCACACCTGTGGCAAATATTAACTCTGCATTTTAAAGTATTATTTTGAGGATCCTTATTGATCTCTTGTTTATTTTCACCATGATGAAGATAATTATTTCGTCCCCTTTCATGTCCTCGTCCACGTCTACGACTATGGCCACGGTCACGGTCACGATAATGATTTTATCTTCTTTCATACTTTTGGGTAGCTGCTATCATATTCACTTCGAAAAATGGTACAGATCCAATGGGACGAGCTTCATGATTTTTTATTAAAAGGGTATTATGTTGCTCAGCCATCAGAAGGCATGAGATTAATTCAGAATATTTCTTTAAACTCTTTTCACGGTATTGTTGCTGTAATATTATATTTGAGGCATGGAAAGTAGAAAGAGTCTTTTCCAGTAAATTCTCATCATTCACAATTTTCCCACATAATTTAAGTTGGGATGTTATCCTGAATACAGCAAAATTATATTCACTTACAGTTTTAAAATCTTGTAACCGTAAGTGAATCCATTCATATCGAGCTCTTGGCAATATTGTTGCCTTAAGATGGTCATATCGTTCCTTCAAACTGCTCCATAATTCAAATGGATCCTTGAGGGTTAAGTATTCGGTCTTTAACCCTTCATCGAGATGATGACGAAGAAAAATCATAGCCTTTGCTTTATCCTGGCCTGATGTTTCATTTCCTTGTATAATACTCCCTCTGTTTCAATTTATGTGAAACCATTTGACTGGGTACAGAGTTTAAGAAAAGAGAGAAGACTTTTAAACTTGTGGTGTAAAATGAGGCACATATATTTTGTGTGGCTATAAATCATTGCATAAAGGTAAATTGTTTCCAAATAAGGAAAGTGGTCATTCTTTTTGGCACATGATAAAAAGGAAATAGGTTCACATAAATGTAAACGGAGGGAGTAGTTTTTTCAAGAGCTTTTGCAGCACGGTGAATTTCGGTATCAAGGACCCATGATAAATAATTCTTTCCGGAGATGTCAAGTCCCACAAATTTAAAGTTTTGATAAATTCGACATAATGAAAACAGAAAGTAGAGTGGTGGTAGCTAGTGTGTGACGGATCAGACTTGAGTGGAAGCTAATTCGTGTTGATAACGTATTATGATATATTACTCAAAGTAACAATATAGAACAAGGAAAAATAAGCTAAGAGATATAGAGAGAAAAAGAGGAAGGGAGATTCTTATTTCTTCTTCAATTGTGTGTATTTTTCTATCTATTACAAGGCCTTTATATAGGCATGAAAAGTGAAAAAAAATATGTCATTGAATATGTCATTAAGCATAAAAATATGTCATTAAATATTTGAGAAGATCATGAAAGAAGATTAGACATCCTCCATGATTTGATTTTTCTTATAACAAAAAATTTTATGTCCGAATTTATGGTTAAAATTATATAAATTGGGACATAGGGACTTAACAAATTGCAGGTTTTTCATTTTTTTATGAGAATTATAATTCTCTTTCTCGTATATGGTTTTGTTGTTGTTTGTCTTAAGTTTTGTATAAGGCTGGCAAGTGGGCCGGTCCAGGACCGATACCGGTTCAGGACCGCGACCCATATGAGTAGTGGGCCTAATCGGGCTGAACCGTTTAAGACCGGGACCGGGGGAGGTAGGCCTGGCAAGTGGGCTGGTCCTTATCTTGAGGCTCGCGAGACCGGACCGTTTGAGACCGGGACCGAAGCGGTCCTAGAGGGCCTAAACGGTCCCAACGGCCATAATTTAAAAAAAAATCTGCCCGTTTGGGCATTTAAAATCTAGTCGTTTCCTCTGCCAAAATAGTGTTGGCTATTTACAAAATAGCCATTTAACCTCTCCCCTCCCCCCTTCCCCCCAACTTTGTTTTAACCCCAAGCTTTTTATAATTATTCTTTTTCCATATTTTTAACTATATATACCCCCTCATTCTTTTATTTTTCTTACAAAATTATCAATCTCTCTCTAATTTTCTTCTATAATTGCTTACTTTATTGTTACAATTTGTGAAAAATTATGAAGTTGGTGAATTGAAATCTTCAACGATAATTAATTTTCAACAAGTTCGTCAATTCGGTAAACTCGTTCCAACTCTTAAGTTTTAATATTATAGTTTTGTTTGTTTTATTTACTTTGTATTGCTTGATTAATTAAGATGGCTTATTCCTTAAAAAAATATTTAATAAAAATAAGGAAAAATCCAAAAATGGTGAATCTAGTGGCCAATCTGTTCCTCCTCCACTTTCCCCGGCTCCCGGACCCAAACCTGTTACCCGTCCTACACCTGCTATTCTTGATAGCGATAATAGTTTATTACAATTTACCGAGAGTCAATTTTGCCATAATATTGCACCCGGTGAACAATTAAAGCATGAATATATGAATGCTCTTTATGGTAATCCAACTATTGATGAAAATGATGATGAAGAAATAGATTTTAATGAAACGCAACCGGATGACGATACACCCACTAGTCATACTCCTGAAGTTAACCCAACTAATAATAATCCAAATGATGCCCCGTCTGACCCTTCTGTTACTACCTACTTTTTCTAGACAACCTTCTAAACGGACATAAATATCTGTTGTTTGGCCATTTTTTACTCAACTAAAAGAAAACAAATAGGGCTAAATGTAAAACTTGTGGCAAAGAGTTAGCTTTTAAATATGTTGGAGGTCCGGAGGATGGGAAGTTTGACTAGACACATATTGCTACACCCTCAAGATATTGCTACACCCGCCACCACCAACGAAAATTTCTTCGGACCTTGAACGATTTATGAAATTTGTAAGAGATACCATGTAACTTGTATGAACAAAAATTAATATGTAACTTGTGTTTTGGCACATCTTGATTAGTTTCTTTTTCTTCTCAATGGTGGTATTAACACCTTTTTGTGTTCATTCCACAGGGGGGGGAAGACTAAGAAAGATATTGCCATTTTTTTAATGCGATAATAAAATTATAACGCATTGATTTGAATCTCTTTACAATATTTTTGTCTTTAAATTTGAATTAAAAAATTTAGGTAACAATAGTATATAATATAATTTACAAGGATTTGCCTTACATATTTTTATTACCATTTTTTTTCTAACTTCTATAAATTTTTTAAAAAATAGAAAGTATAAGTTGGGTCCACTTAGTTCCACTTGGGCCCAGGACCAGTCCACTTAGACCGGAACCATTAGTTCGTGGCCCCGGACCAGTTCCTACAAAAGCTCGTGAAGCCCGGGCCCGAGAAACCCGTTTAAGTTAGGATCGGGCCCACTTAGAACCAGCTCACGAAACCCATTTAGACCCGGACCCGGCCCACATGCCGGCATAGTTTTGTATCATCATTTCCTATTCTTCATGGATTTGCTATATCTGATTAAAGGAATGAACTGAAAGTATTTGGCTTATTATTTCACTGGTTGATAATCACAAATTGGACGCTCACCACCATTGATGCCTAATTGATACTTTCTTAATGTGTTCAATCTCTCCTACATTCCTCAAAATAGTGCTTTGAATTTAGACCAGCTTCAAATGATTTCTCTGCACTCTAACTAATTCAATACGAGGAAAATGGAATTTTGGAGCTCGAGTCTTTGGTTCTTTTGGTCTAGTTTGCCTTGAACTGGCTGCTGCCTTAAAAAGCTTCAGAAATATTAGAACAATCCTCCATTATACACATCCTGAAAGGCTGAAACAGAGACTTGTGTTTCCTCAACTTGTGTTTTATTTCCCAAGTTATTACCTACTGAATAATATAAACAACCAAGTGAATGTGCTGAAATTGACCTTTTGGCTGTTAGTACAAGTCTCAATTCCAAGCAAGTTAGGGAGCTTTTGGTTGTTACTTGAAAATAGTAAGAGTTCTGTTAAAAAACCCAAATGGAAATAGAACAAAGAAACATATACACAAGATATAAGATAACCAAGGAAACAGCTCACATTCAAGATTTCATTTGAGTAGCAGAAATACTGTGTCTATACAATTGCTTCCACAGCAAATACATCGTTCATTTGTATGTTTGATGCTATTTTTCCAAAGACAATAAATAAATAATAATAACACTGCAAGATCTATAAAACCACCATGGTTTTTACCCTGCCATATATATTCATTTTACCCCAGAAAAAGATTCAAACTGTAATTGCTAAGGGTTCTTTTTTTTTTCCTGTTTGCAGTTCCCAGTTGGAAATCTAGAGAAAAAATTGTTTGATTACAAAAGGGATTTCAATGTTCTTATAACTCGACAACCCAAGCTGGAAAAAGACACTTTTTTCCTGCCAACAGAGACATTTTCACTTCAAACTTCGCCTGTGAAATTCTTCTCTTTTCAAACTCCACAACCCAAGCCTCTTGCTTCTGATCCTTTCATTATCCTTAACCTTTTGCAAGAAGATAAGAACATATCCCAAGGAACATCACCAACAAGCATCAAGTCACCATCTTTATCTTCATAGGCAGGTGCAAATTCTGACCCATTATACCCTTCCCTTTCTGAATATTCACCTATACTGAGCTTGAACATGTTCTCTAATGCCTTGAGTAGTTCTGAATACCCCTTATACATTTTTAGATCAATTTTTCTAAGATAAGGAGCTCCATCCATACTAACTTTGACATACATTCCACACTCAGTTTCTGTCTTCTTTGGTTGGATGTTATTCTTCCTGTAAGATCTAACTGGTGGCCATCCCACTATTTGTGTCTTCTTCTTTGATTCACAATCTTCATCCTCAGCTGATTCAGGCAAACCCCTCTTCTTATTCTTGGAACTTGACACAATAGACTCATCTTCTGTCCCTGGTAATCCCAATCTTAGCTCTGTTGCTTTCAGATTCAGATCTTTCTCATGAGCCATAACGCACTCCATTTTTTTTTTCAAAATTTTCAAGATTGCTGCTTTTCTTTTTCAAGATTGCTTTGAATAGATGGGTTGAAGACAATATAAAAGAATGGTTGAGATTGATGGAAGAAGTGGTGGATAGCTGGCTTTTATATAAAGAGAAAGATAGATGAGAGATTTGTGCAATTAGGTGAAGTGGGGGTATTGGAGAGAATTAAGAAAAGGAAATAATGGAAGAGTGCATAAAAATGGGGACAAGACAAGCTAAAGTTGTCGGTAGGAAGAGTTGCAGCGTTGAGGAAAGTGATAGGATATATTTGGGGGGACAAGAATTGGACAAAGCTCAGCTGCCCATGTGGTCCTGTGGAGAAAGACTTTAATGGGAGTGACGGTCAAGATGTATTTTGGAAAAATGTGGGAGCAAAATCAGGAACGTCAGATTGTGTTTATTAAATATGGCCAGGGTTGTGGCCGTGTGGGGTGGTTTGGGGCCAAATAAGTTACCAGGTGTTTTAATGCATCAATCCTTGAATTTTCTTTCTTAGCACTTTCGTGTTACATCTCTCTTTCAAAATAAATAAATAAAAGCACTTGGATTGTTTTTTGAGCTGAGGTTATAAAAATATTTGGAGTTGAGGTTAAAGAAATACTAAAATTTTGTATTTGAATAAAATTTTACGTGAAAAAAGGATTGTTCAGACTTGAAGATATATGCGTGAAAATGAAATACACATCCAAACTAGTATTTTAATACTTCAAGTATGCTATTGGACAGATTTGAGCTGAAGCTGAAAAAAGTTTGTGAAAGTTCAAAGTTGATTTTACACATGACATGCAAAAGAATAGTAAGTGAAAACTAGTACTAGTAGTATTCTATTTGAAATACAATTTCAAACCAATATTTCAATTGGCACTCAAATTGTTGAAATTTAGGGGCCGTTTCTCCATAAGAAAATTTTCAATTTTTTCGATTTTTTTAAAACTTTTTAAAAAAAAATAAGCGTAATTTCAAATTGAACTTCAAAATTTGAGAAAACTTCAAAAAATTATTTTTCAAAATTCTCACTTCAAATCATTCACAAAAATTCAAAAAGAAATCCAAATTGTATTCATGTCCAAACACAACACTAATTTTCAAAAGTCATTTTCACTTAATTTTTTTTCCAAAATTTGACAATTCTTATGTCCAAATGCTCGCTTAGTATTTGCAAATAATCATGGTCATATAAGTATATTCATAAATACTCGAATACTATTTTATGGCCAAACTAGAATTAATGTTGAAGTCAGTATTGTCATGACCAAACTAGTATTGCTATTTGCTAACAATGTGTCTGATATTCATAAATTTACGATGTGTTCCAATTAACGAGTTCTAATTAAGGACATTATATTAAGATAGAATAAGAATTTCACCCTACTGCATGTTTCCATAGATATGTGCCAAAAGTGGAGAGTAAAATTAATTTTGAAAATTACCATTCAAGTAGGTTAGCGTAAAAAGAAGTATAAAACTTTTAACGTGGGAAGATAAGTAGTCGTGTATTGAAATACAAAAAAGAAAAAAAGAAAAAAAGGCAAAACCGAAAGTCACCTGAATAAGCCCCTTATCTAATCTCAGTTCTTTGCCCTCTTGAGAATTATACTTATTCTGAAAAGATTTTCCTGATTCTCAGGAATATCAATATCTATTTTTCTTCTTTCTACGCAATACATATGCTCCCTTCCAACATAAATATCAACTCAATTATCATATGCCTTTGACACCGGCAACTGTCCAAGGGATGCAACACTAGCTTTCTTTATACCCCAAATGCATTTGCTCCATTTTTTTAATTTATTAATATTATGTACGGTCAAATAAATTTCACAAATTTTGATGAGAAAAATGGATTTTGAGATTTTGAAATGCCTGTAATACACCTTTATAATTTAGTTGTAAACTCAGTAGCCTACGTTAGGGTGATTAAGGACATATATGATGAAACTAAGACTCAGGTTAGGGCAGCGAAAGAAGACTCAGAACACTTTCCGGTTAGGATGGGGTTGCACCAGGGATCAACTCTTAGTCTATTCCTATTTTCCTTGGTGATGGACGCATTGACAAGACACATTCAAGGCGAAGTACCATGGTGTATGTTATTTGCTGATGATATAGTTTTAATTGACGAGACGTGAGGTGGTGTTAACGAGAGGCTGGAGGTTTGGAGGCAGACCCTAGAGTCTAAGGGTTTCAAGTTGAGCAGGACCAAGACGGAATACATGGAGTGCAAGTTCAGCAACGGTACCAAGGAAGGGAATATGGAGGTAAGGCTTGATACGCAATTCATCCCCAAGAGAGGTAGTTTCAAGTATCTTGGATATATAATACAAGGCATCGGGGAGATTGATGAAGATGTCACGCATTGTATCGGAGCAGGTTGGATGAAATGGAGGCTCACTTCCGATGTCTTATGTGATAAGAATGTGTCGATGAGACTTAAAGGTAAGTTCTACAAGGTTGTAGTTAGACCGACTATGTTGTATGGAGCAGAGTGTTGGCCAGTCAAGAACTCTCATACCTAGAAGCTAAAAGTAGCTGAGATGAGGATGTTGAGGTGGGTGTGTGGGCATACCCAGTTGGATAAGATTAGGAATGAAGTTATTCGGGAAAATATGGGAGTGACCCCTATTGAGGATAAGATGCGGGAGGCGAGGTTGAGATAATTCGCGCATATTAAGAGGAGAAGTATAGAAGCTCCAGTTAGAAGGTGTGAGCGGTTAGCCTCGGTGGGCAGCAGGAGGGGTATAGGTAGGCCTAAAAAGTCTTGGGGAGAGGTTATTAGGCGGGGCATGGCGCAGCTGGAGCTGACTGAGGACATGGCCCTAGACAGGAGGGTGTGGAGGTCAAAGATTAGGATAAAAGGTTAGTAGGTAGTCGAGCGTTTTTCTTTGTCTTACTCAGTTCGGTAGCATTAATGTTAGTATGTTATCTTTTATTCATAGATGGCTATTACTACCTAGAGTTTGACTGTATTCTTGGATTCGATCTTATTTCATCTTGCTGTTATTCCTATTTGTTGTAATTACCTTTTCTTTTTCAGTCGTTCTTTAGCCGAGGGTCTATCGGAAACAACCTCTTTGCCCTTCCAGGGGTAGGGGTAAGGCTGCGTACATCTTACCCTCCCCATACCCCATTCGTGAAAAACTACTGAGTTTGTTGTTGTTGTGGTTGTAAACTAATTTCCTTATACGGATTCCTTTGATCTTTCTCTTTAAAATGAGAACGGAAGCTCATCAAAACTAAATTTGGTTAGTTTGGTTACAACTAGTATTCTATATATGATCTTTTTAAGAGGTTAGAAAACATAATACTAGTTGAAACTTGAAATTATTTTAAGACAGCCGAAACAAGAAAACATTTGGGTGGGTTTCCTCCCACCTTCCAACTTGGAAAAAATAAATAAAAAATAACATGATTTATAATTGGTAGTTAAAAATAGCCGCAATTTTAAAAGTAATTAAAATTTAGCTACTTTTTTCATTTAAAGATAAAATATGGACAAAAATACTCTTAAATATCCGATAAAATTCCAGCATAATATGACGGAGTTCAAATTTTTTACATATGAGATTCCACCATAATGTGTTGGAATTTTATATATAATGTGCTCGAGTTCCACTTGTAATATGTTGGAAGTTTATACACATGAACTTCAAAATCCAGCATATTTTGCTGAAACTTTCTGTGTTTCAGCTAGGATATTTTTGTTCGGATTTTATCTCCACATTAAATAGTAATTGGTTATTTTTTTATTACCCGGCTAAAAATTAATTAGCCCATGCTATTTTCACTCCAACTTGAGGACGAGGTGTCATAAGCCGAGCCAAAGCTCTACATTTGGGTCTCTAGTTCTTCTGAAGATATAGGCTACTAGTCTACTTTGCTAATACTATTAATTCTAATGTCTTATTTTTTTTTAGAACATGTCACCTCATTAACCAAACACCGAAAAAATTAGTAAAATATATTTTCATAGAAAACATTATAATTTGAAAGTGATTAGTTTTGTTTCCTTTAAAACAGATAACAATTAAATTTGTACGCGATTTTAAGGATGCGTATTAATTCAACACAAATAATTAAGAATATTAGATAACAAGTTAGAGACAAAATGAATAAGTAGACCAATTATAATGTTACGGCCCATCTCGAACTTAGGTTGAACGGTAGTTTTACCCTCTATCGGACCCTTGGTTCGAAGCCAATTGTGAATGAAGAACAAATAGTAAAGTAAGAACTTTGCAATAGATAAAACGCAGAAAAATAAATTTGTATTGCCTTGGTTTGCGTATTATAATGTATCCGCAAAAAAAAAACCTTCCCTTTTATATAGTAGGAGAATTTCATCCCTAGTACAAGTTTAAAAAGGTAAAAATCTTTCTTTCCCATTTATTACTGATCCGTAACCGACATCGAGCGAGATCCGCGCCATGATATCCGGTCAGGTACGAATATCACGACCCTTTATCCGTCGTGTGTAATCGTTTGCCATATTTTTCGAGGCTTTAGAATTCGTTCTGGATCCGGGGAGAGTTGCTTTTTATCGTGCTTGATGATGAACACACCATTCTTCTTTTGTGGGTCTCGATACGAAAGGTTCCCGGCCTCAATTTTAGTCTTGTGCGTCCGTGCTCTTCTTTCGTTTTCTTCACTGGGAAATCGGGATATGCTCTATCCTCAATTTTATCCGTATATAGATAGTCCCCTCATTTTCCGGAGAGTAGGTTTGCTGAAACGATGAAAAACGATAGATAAACCCCGGTTTCTTCCCTCGTACGCTATAACTGAGATGACAGATGAATCAAAACGTCCCATCAGTCACGTCGTTCTGACTTAGGACATGTGTTAGCCATCGACTGGCCGTCTTCGAATGCGAAACATCGCGCATTGACTGTGTTTTCCCCTATAAAAGCTCCAACCCTCTTTACTTCTTCCACTTTCTGATTCTAGACTTCGCCTTCGAACATTCTACCAGCTTTTAATCTCTCCAGATCTTCATACATTGTTCATTGAGCCTTCATATCTTGATCTTCATCTTCATACTTCTTCTTTGAACCTTCATCTTCCCAAACCTTCATACCTCCATACCATCTTCAAATCTTCATATTTTTCTTCAAACCAATAGTTTCCAGATTATAATGGTAAAACTTCCAAGTCAGTGCCTCAGCAAGCTGCCCCCTCATCTTCCCACCCGGCCACAGATGCTGAGGTGGTCGTTCCCGAGGTGGCTCAGGATCCCCACATGA